GTGCCCACCATATCGATAGCGGGCGTCAGTGGTCGGCGTCCCAGCAAGAAGCGCAGAGACGTCGATGGGCGACAATGATTCCTTTTGCCACCACAGGAGCGCTACCTGTGCGCCCTGTGAACGCTGTTCTTGTCAGCACGCCAGCCTAATTTGCCACGCTGCCTACAGTACAATCAGTTGAAGCGGACTCCTACCTGCATTCAATGGCCACATTTTCTTGCCCTTCACTTACTTTGCCCCTCGGCGCTGGTCGCGTGAGCTACATTTACGTTGACTTGTGACGATCTCCGCTTCCGGTTCTTCTCACTTCATTTCGCAGGTCGGCTACTTGGCTGCAGGACAGCTATCGCACTCTCCTGCGCGCCCGCAAGTATTTGGCTGAGGTTATCCTACAAGGTCTTCGGCAGGCGTTTGGCTGGACCATACAGTCGACGTTGCTTCTACAGACAACGATGGTGCTCGACGCCATGCGACGTCGTTTCGCAATCCTGGCGCTGTTTGCCGTGGTGCTCTCTAAGGCGCGGGCTGTGATGCCAGGAAGCAGCTCGGCCACTTCAGCGATGGAGTCAGCGGGCAGCGCAGCGAAGCACTCAGTTGACTTCGATGCTGCAATGAAATGGACCAAAGATCCTGCCTATGGCATGGACGAGAGCCTGAAGAAGGAGCTCCTGGCGAGTAGAGTTGTTTGTGCACGACGTTGCTCCTGCTGACATTGCGAGTGGTTGCGTTTCGTCGACTTTCCGGACCAAAGGATCGAGAAAGACACGAAGCTAAGCATTTCTGGCTCGACACTGGCCGTGAATACCAACAGCGCACGAACAGAGCAGACACGCCGGCAGAGATAGCCGAGAAGCGCCGCAGGATCCATATGCTGCTTGATAGCTCGCGTATTCACATTCCCGATGAAGCGCGAGCGCACTTGACAGAGTACAAGGACGACCCAGGCGATGGTGGAGTGAAAGATCTGGAAATCACCAACAAGATCTGGATGGACACCAAGTTGGAGAGAATGATGCATCCGAAAGATTACGCCCATCTTACCCGACACTATGCAGATATGTCTCGTAAGCACTCCTTGTTGTTTCCATTCCATCGCACCCGGCTGGTAAACTTGCCGCCAGGGGAAGAGGAGCGCTTGTCCGCGGAAGGAAAAGCGGAATTGGAAAGACTTCGGAAGGAAGATCCTCCAAAACCTAAAAGTGGATTCAAGTACGAGTTTGATGGACCCGACGTTCCTCCTTGGCATCTGCGACCAGTCGATGAGCGAGCAGATCCTCCGAAAATCAAGCGTCTTCGCACGTCCTCGGGTCTTCACAGATTCAGTAAGCCGCGCGCCACGACTCGTCGTCGTACAGGCCGCGTCACCTATCAAGCCCACTCCCCCTTGCGCTCCCCATCGCCCGAGCCGCAGTCCCCTCCTGCAAGAACTGCTTCTCCTGAAAGCTCGAAGATGTCTACTGGTCGTTCGTGATGGCCTCTTTACTCTGCTATCCGAGTCTCTACTTAACTCCGTGATGAAGCCCCCTCATTCCCGCACGCAGTCCACTGTATGTACTCACTTCGGCAAGCGCTCGTATTTTGACTAGGCCACATCGGCTACGGCTGCACTGCAATCATGTGTAGCTTTTCTCATCAAATGCAGCAAGCCCAAAATACGACCGTGTGGTCCTCTTGAATTCGATTGCGTGAGAGCCTTGAGCCGTGTGTGACAGTTGATGAGCGGAGAGGACCCAAGACCAGGTCGATCGCTGTCGAAAAGTACCCTGAGAATGCACTCAATTCTCGGCCTAAGCCACTCCCCTTCCTCTTCCGCCTCGTCCCCTATCCGGTCCACCTCTTGCTCCTCGTCCTCGGTCTCCGCCTCTTCCTCGTCCTCCGCCCGCTCCACCTCTACTTCCCAATCCAACACCTCCAGAAAGAGGCCCATTGTTTCCTCCCCCTCTGCCTCCTCCAGCTCCACTTGCTGCCTGTCGCGCTCTGCGTGCTGCCTCTTCTTGCTCACGAACACTGTCTACCAAGGCGTCTGCTACGCGACAATATTTGATCTGAGCGAGCGTCAGGAGGTAGTCAGCAGCAGCGGATAAGACAGGGGTGGATCTGGTCCGATTCGAGTACCTCTAGATGCACAAGTCGCGCCAAAAGGCATGAGATGGACCCCATATATGCTCTACACTCACAGTACTGCCACGAATATAGCATTCATTCATCTTCCAGAATTGCTCGCCAGTCTAAACATTGCCATCACCGCAGTGAGGAGCCTTGTCAGCCAGCTTGCTCCACGCTTGTTGGCGTCATTGCGCGCGACCCACTACTTTGTAGCGCCCCCACACAGTCCACCCAGCTACTCACC